CACCACCCCAGTCACTGATAAAGCTGTATATCGCTTGTTTGTGTAACAATTTATTGACATTTTTTTTTATGTGTTAAGTAGCTCCGGGATGTAAACAAATGTGATTCCCTTGTGTAAAGTAGATCTGTTTACCCCTAAAACACAGTTGTACCAAGGGGCTTGAGTGTAATACACATTATAATCAGTTTAGTTATTCTCCCTAGTGTGCAGGGGTGCTGGGGCAGCCTGGTGGTTAAAGCATTCGCTCGTCATGCTCAAGACCCTGGTTCGACTCCCCACATGGGTACAATGTGTGTCCCCCGCTGTGGTATTGCTGGAATATTGCTAAAAGCGGCGTAAAACTAAACACACTGTGCAGACCTTCCTCCTGCATATTTCACACTGACATTACGGGACAACACACTGTGGTGTTTCCTTCCACTGCCCAACTACTGCCATTCAGTGGTTTAGATCATAATAATTCCATACATCTATTTTTTCATTTTTTGAGGGGGATGGGAGTTCGGTATGGGATATTATTTTCAGTCATAGTTGAGATACCATTTACATATAGCAGTATGCACTAGAAATTTTCATCTGAGCCAGGAAGGTTTGTTGAAACCATATAAATTTATTTACTATTCCTTGACTTTATTACACATACATGTTGCACGTGGTCAACCTGTTCACTTATGACAAGTTGTAGCCGTTGCTGGAGATGGACTCCATTGTTTATACACTTCATTGCAATACAACAGTTGTCTGAGACAACATGGGTAGGAATGTGATATCATGTAAAGGAGCGTCCAGTGTAAGATGGTGCCTAATGGTGCCAGTACTGACACAAAACCTGCCTGACCTTGGTAAGATGTAAACAAGTTAATGTACAGGGGGAAATGCTGACCTCATTCAGAGGAACTGGGCTTTGCTATTTATAGCAGCTGAGAACAAAACAAAGGTATAGAAATAGACACACAAGTCTGTTAGCCAGAGAGTTGGCAGCAGTCTAGCCTTGCTATAAGGCTCCTTATATGTATATCATATTTGTAATCTGGGAAATATGGTTTAAACTAAATCATTTAGTTACAGTGAGTGAGTTTAGTTTTACGCCGCACTCAGCAATATCCCAGCTATATGGCGGCGGCCTGTAAATAATCGAGTCTGGACCAGACAGTCCAGTGATCAACAACATGCGCATCGATCTACCCGATCCCGTTATTTGCCACTTACGACAAGCATGGGATCCTGAAGACCTATTCTAGCCCGGACATTAACAGGTCCATTTATTTAGAGACTTGTGCAGGTATAGAAGCAGTACTCTGCTGTAATAATCCAAATACACACTGCTTCAAAAGATATACTAAGGCCCTACTAATGTTGGAAACAAATATTTTAAGAAGATTTGACAGAAGACCCCCCAAATAATTAAAAAGTAAAAGTAAAATAATGTGAACTTGTGTGAATTTGATCATTAAATCTGAATTTAGTCAAATGCTCTTTAACAGAGTGTGCTGAGTAAGTAATAGCCCATGAAATAACATTGAATCAACTGACAATGATCCATGAGCCATCTTCATGGGTGTAAACACAAACTACCTTTTGGAAAGTGGTCAGGATTGTAGCCTCAAAGTTTTGTGACAGGCTGTTTAATTAATTACACTTCCTTCCAACTGCACTTTTGTAGATGATGACTCAGACACATCAATTAAAATCTGAAAGAAATAAACCCTGGTAATATAATCTGGATGAAAGGAACAGTACACAAACAGCATGTTAAATACAATAGGCAGCTTGTTGATGCAACATTATACCGGCTATATTCACCCAACTGGATATATTGCATACTTGTCAAAATGTTCTTTGTTTGATGATTCAGAGACGTTTATCATTTCATGTTCCAACGGATGGTTGATATCCTTTGGCAGGTGTATGTGGCAGCTTTTGTCTGACAGTTTTTTAATATTTTTAGCCTGTGTATTAACCTGCTAAACGTGTTCCGATGTGGAGAGGGGTGGAGCAAAAACTAGGACAAGGCTCATTTAGCAACATTCAGTACGGTAATGTGCATACCCTGACTACTGCAATTTAGGTTTTTTATTTTGAATTATTCAGCTTTGAACATCTGGAGGTTGTCATTGTAAAACACATCCAGAAACAGGCATTGTTTAATTAGCAAGTACATGCTTACCAAGCTTTGTGTAAACAAAATGTATGTGTGTGTGTTTGCATGAGTGTGTGCTTGCGTGCGTGAGTGTGTGAGTGCGTGCGTGCATGCTTTTAGCGAACCTTGCTCACATAGTATAGGCTTGTTTCATTTCATATGAGTGTTTGAAACCCTATTCCAAAGTTATCACCTATGTCTGCAGTGACCATATTCACATGTGTCTATGCCCCATGGGATTTCTTGGTTAGAATAGCCAGCTGAGGCTGATAGTAAAAGTCCTGATATGTGACATGGTTGATTGTGTGTCATTGTTGGTTCTGATATGTGACATGGTTGATTGTGTGTCATCGATGGTTCTGATATGTGACATGGTTGATTGTGTGTCATCGATGGTTCTGATATGTGACATGGTTGATTGTGTGTCATTGTTGGTTCTGATATGTGACATGGTTGATTGTGTGTCATCGATGGTTCTGATATGTGACATGGTTGATTGTGTGTCATTGTTGGTTCTGATATGTGACATGGTTGATTGTGTGTCATCGATGGTTCTGATATGTGACATGGTTGATTGTGTGTCATTGTTGGTTCTGATATGTGACATGGTTGATTGTGTGTCATCGATGGTTCTGATATGTGACATGGTTGATTGTGTGTCATCGATGGTTCTGATATGTGACATGGTTGATTGTGTGTCATTGTTGGTTCTGATATGTGACATGGTTGATTGTGTGTCATTGTTGGTTCTGATATGTGACATGGTTGATTGTGTGTCATTGTTGGTTCTGATATGTGACATGGTTGATTGTGTGTCATTGTTGGTTCTGATATGTGACATGGTTGATTGTGTGTCATCGATGTTTCTGATTGTTGCTCACGATACCAACCACCTGATTATATCGCCCACATTTAATCATTATATATACCGGACATATTGCCGAGCGCAGTGAACGCAGTTTTGAACAACAAATCTTTCACAGATAATCGCATTTGCATCAAAATGAGCTTTATTTTGAAACACAGTACTTGTGTAGTATTGTCTCATCATGGTCAGTAGCATGAGGACACTTGTGTTGATTTCAACAAAATAAAGTATTCTTAGAGTGTAATGTTTATTTACTGTATGTCCTGCTGTGGTTTACCTGTTGGTTTATGGCATGTCTAACCCACAGATACACACACAGCCTGGTACATCATGATGTAGTCGGGTGGATTAAGCACATAAAGGTTATGGCATTGCACATGGCAGTATTGTTTAACTTACATGAAGGGCTGTGAGTACATGCACATCCTCAGCCAAGATGGTTGCGCTTCAATTCACACAGGCAGGAGAAAAAAACATTTCCACGGTAATACAAATTATGGTTATAAAATTACCAAAATCAGGTGTTTGCCAAGTATAAATGAATCTTCCTGAATCTGCTCACTAAACATTTGCAAGTATACTGATGGTAGATTATGAAGCAACACCTAAAATCTGAAGCTACAAAAGAGTTTCAGATGCATGTTTGGTACACACAATTCAACGCGAACTTCAAAAATGGCATGTGAAGACATTCTACACTATCTTGAAAGTAACTGCAGCGACACAACACAGTCTGTTTATGAAATCAAGATCATTTATTCCATTGGAGAGGTATAGTGGTAAATTCACCAATAATGGACATAACAAAAGGTATTCACATTTTGATAAAAAAAATGTCTTCATCTTGCCAACTCTGTAATGTTTTGTGGAACAGTAGAACTTCTTGAAATGGAATCCACTGAAGTTGACATTTGAAACAATAACTGGGTCATCAGTAGTGTGGGTATCTGCCACGAGCCTGAATCACCTCCTGACAGCGTCTCCTTGTCGATAGCATGAGTTTACGAAAAAAAAGGCATGGGCAGATTGTTCCATTCGTCTAGCACGGCCTGCCTGAGTTGTCGAATGTTGGCCATACGCCTACCAATCACGTCCAACACGTCCTCGATCGGATTAGGATCTGGACTTACACTTGGCCAATTGAGGGATTCAATGTTATGCTGCCTCTTAAGGTCAGTAATGATCCTTGCATGATGAGGGCCCGTCCTGCAAGATGTGCGCAACATGAGGATTGGCATGCAGAAATGGCAGCAGAGTGTTCTCGATGATGTCCAACCATACTTCTCTGCATTCAGCTTGCTCTGTATGTCTTTGATGTTTGATTGGCGAAGTTGATTTGCAGACCAGAATGGTTCCTGGCGTGTCATTCGTATTCTTAGCAGCCGTCCTACCACCCCTTAAATCGGTCTTTTTTGAGTCGACCTCCACCAGCGGCAACCTTGACTTCACCTGTCCTGCAGGTTTTTTTTCAGCAACTTGCTGATGCCACTGTGACAGACGTTAACGCATCTTACAATCTGTCGCAAGGACATACCACCTTCTCTCATGAATACAATTTGCCATTTTGTGGTCTCAAATAACTGGTTGTAAGCCATATTAATAAACCATCAACTCACACAGTACTGCTCTCGAAACAACATATTGTGAAATATGTACGTGTATGCATCTCACCTGCATGCACAAGCAAAACATGTCATGCACATGCATATTGTTTTCTGAAATGGAGAGACGAACATGTAAGCCACGGAAAACTGTTATTCATTCGATGTTTTCATTTGAATGGTTTCATTTACATCATGTTTAATCAGGTGTTGCCTCATGTTTTACAATGAGTATATGTTGTTACTCATGCAGTACATGCACTGTGGAAGGTTTATTTCATGGATCTTTATGTTGAACACTTTTAGTATCATTACATTAATGTAATGAAAGATGAAACAAGGTGTTTGTTTGAATGACCTGTCCTTGATGTAGGTGATTTGTTTGTTGCAGCCATCAGTGCGTCTTACCCCCGCTGCTATACTGTATGCTGGACGCAGCTCCGACCAAAGTCATATCTTGGTGAGTGAATAGCTGGAGGCCGTGGTCACCTATATAGGGTGGTGTGCACAGCAACATGGCATGAGACCAGTTACAGCATCTAGTTGATTGGTATAGGGAGGTGTTGGGAATGTTTGGTTTGAGAACTTACCAGCTATATCCAGGGCGGTGGGGTAGCCTAGTGGTTAAAGCATCCCCTTGTCACACTGAAGACCCAGGTTTGATTCCCTACATGGGTACAATGTGTGAAGCCCATTTCTGGTGTTCCCTGTCGTGATATTGCTGGAATATTGCTAAAAGCGGTGTAAAACCATACTCACTCACTTACTCCAAGCTATATCCAACTTAACTGAGCAACATCAAAGAAGCTATTCATTTTTACTATATACTCTAATTTTTTACCTTTGGGTATTTTCATGAAAGAAGCTTTTTTTTTCACCCCTGCCATCATGTTATACATTCAGTGCATGTTTCAGAACAAACTTGTCATTTTAAATTCTGCTCATTCCTATTAGGTGCTCCCTGAATACCTCGTTTAATACAGGGCGGTGGGGTAGCCTAGTTGTTAAAGCGTTGGCTCGTCACGGCGAAGACCCGGGTTCGATTTCCCACATGGGCACAATGTGTGAAGCCCATTTCTGGTGTCCCCCGCCGTGATATTGCTGGAATATTGCTAAAAGCGGCGTAAAACTAAACTCAGTCAGTCGTTTAATACATGATTCAGATCTTGTTTGTGAAACAAACTAACTGCAGGTTTAGTAGCAAGTATAAAACAGCCTTACCATACTCAACATACTCAAGGCCCTACTGTATGGTTGTAGTGTGTGTTTTGTTGTAGAAAGTTGGTAATGTATATATATGGTTTTACTGAACATCCTGTGTTGGCATTTGTTATTTTGTTTGTTTGTGAACATGTTTTTCATTTATTTTAGTAAATTATTAAAAACAATGATAACACAGACTTCAAAACTGGTTGAAAAGCCTTTATAAATGTTTCTGCACAGAATTCAACAGTGTTGAAGTGCTAGCAATACTTTTTTGAGATGGGGCCAGTTTACCTACCTGTTTAACCTCTGTAATGACTATCATAAACATGTCAGGATATTGAAATGTCTCCAGGCTTGTCTAGATGTATTATGATGCACATGACAGAAGGTTGTTGAAGTATGGACCTTGATGAGTGAGTGAGTGAGTGAATATTGCGTAGTGCCACATCGGCAGTGTTGCAGCCATGCCTGGCTGGCTATATATGTGTTTATAATGCAGGCCAAGTATGTAAACCATGAAATATGAAATCTTTTCAGCATTTCAAGAACGATGGCTTATTTCTGGATTCTTTGTTTTCAGCGAAGTGCCCAGTATTTACACAAAGAACTTCCTGTTCGCATCGCACACAGAATTGCAGGTTTCCCGGGGACTTCCTTTCATTGTGGGGTGTAACCCAACCATCCTACAAGTTGTGAGTAGAGCCGTGCTTCAGTCACGCTAACTCAAGTGTCATGGTACATTTACCATCTTCTGTACTAAGCTATACAGTCCCCTTGAGATGTAGACTGGAGTGAACGTTTGGCTAAGAATAGAAGCAAGTGTGATCTCTAGAACATGTTGTAGAGATTTAACTGGTGTTAATTTAATGCATTACAACTGTTTTTTGCTGCCCCAATGAAGCTTCAAAGTCTGGCCTGGCAATTAATATTGAACTGCACAGTCACGCAACTGTTTATGTTCATTTGTCTGTTGTGAAGTTTTATGTACATAATTTTGTGTTAGTCTAGACCCAGCACTTGCATATTAACCCAATTCAGTACCCAAAACAAATAATCAAATCTGTTTAGAAATCTTCCTTTCTGTGTAACCAGACAGCAGTTACCATGGATACAGGTAGATGCCAAGATTGCAATCTGCTGGAACTGTGTGAGACGTTCAGGTGAAACTGCTAGTTGTGGTTGTGATCTACTTGAACTCACACTGTGTCAGGGCTGCAGTCAACAGGGGAATTCCTTCATCACTTACCCTGGTGTTGAGACTCCTTGATGCATATTCCATTTCTGCAATAACTCTGTACAAATGCTTTGATAAACTAAGAGTAATTCACCATGTTAAGATTTGTGAAATCAGTTTGAGCCAGTACAACAGTTGACAGTATGCTGAGGTGTGTTAGTCTTCAGCGACCGATGCTTGTCTTAAGTGGCAACTAACAGGATCGGGTGGTCAGACTAGGTTGACACATGTCATTGTATCTCAATTTCTTAGATTGATGCTCATGCTGTTGATCACTGAATTGTCTGGTCCAGACTTGATTATTTACAGACCGCTGCGATATAGCTGGAATATTGCTGAGTGCGGCGTTCAACAACAAAACACCACCACCACACACAGGTTACAGAATGTGTGACAATACTGACACAATAGGTTCTAGGATGTCTGGTATGTAAAGAGGTTATCTGATAGCAACAGTGATGCCCACAGTGGTAGGATTTCCTCAACAGCAAGTGAATTTCGTGTACATGCATAGGATCTTGCCCAATATTCTGTATTAATGCATCACACACAATGCAACTTTTTCGTTTCTCAAACTTGGCATGTTCATATTTGGCCACAATTACTTATTCCTTTTACCATGGTAACAGTGTCTTTCTCAACTGTTTAACTAAAAACAAAACTAACATTTCCTAAGCCAGTATTACAGTAACTTCCTTGAACTGCCATTACATTACAATCTCTTCTTCTCTTTCTTAACTGTTATACATAACATTCAACGATTTTAGTCTCTTGTATGAACTGTCTTTAGCTACCACTGTTACAGTATTTGCCTTGAAGTCTTACGCCATTGTTACAGCTGGTTCCTGGAAGTGTTACAACCTACAAGGTTCTTCGTGTTACAGCACACCAGTCTCACCATGGTTATGTGTCGTTCACTGCTAAACATGTGTTGTAGAGTTTCCATGAATTGAATGACACCATACAAATGTATTTTTAACCAGCTTCTGGTAACAATTGTACATGACTCTAATAGACAGAACTTCTGTTGATGTTGCTCGTGGTGAGACACCAATACAACATGGACCCATGAAGATCCAGGTTAGAATTGGTCTTCAGTAACACATGTCATAAGAGGCCACTAACAGGATTGGGTGGTCAGACTCGCTGACTTGGTTGACACAGTCATCGTGTCCCAATTGTCTAGATCGATGCTCATGTTGTTGATCACTAGATTGACTTGATTATTTACAGACCACCCCAACATGGCTGGAATATTGCTGAGTGCGGTGTAAAACTAAACTCACTCACTCACCAATACAAGAACTTTTTAAGGATTATCAACTATTTTGCTTTTCAGAAGACTAGGTATTTGCTGTCGGTGACAGTAAGCCGTAACATTTGTGTCGTCTATATATTTTCAGCATGAGCTGTATATCCGGGCGTTCCATATCCTGTCAGAGATGATGCCAGTAAGTGAAGTGTTAACTGATTGCTACAGGTGGTAGGACAGTAGTATTCGGATAGCACTGATCAAATCACAGGTAGAACTGCTGTGTAGTAGGGCTCAGATCTTTTGTAGGGCTCCAATTCATACTAGGAATTGAATCCTGTTTCTTGTATACAGATGTATATCTATATCAAAAAGAATCCCAGACACCACGTAAATAATCATTAAGGACTTACATATATGGCAACCCTGTCTTCATTAATAATCATATAGTTTGATGGATACTGTGTATTCAACTGACCATGAAATACAGTCAAACATTTCTTCTTCTTTTTCATATATTGTTGCATTTCACTTAATGTTTGATGGATTAGAAAGAAATATATAAATCCTGCTGATTAGGCTTGATGTTGTCTGCCAGGTAGTAAATCCTGCTGATTAGGCTAGACAGGTGGGACACACCCAGACCTAGAAATATATAAATCCTGCTGATTAGGCTTGATGTTGTCTGCCAGGTAGTAGACAGGTGGGACACACCCACACCTAGAAATATATAAATCCTGCTGATTAGGCTTGATGTTGTCTGCCAGGTAGTAGACAGGTGGGACACACCCACACCTAGAAATATATAAATCCTGCTGATTAGGCTTGATGTTGTCTGCCAGGTAGTAGACAGGTGGGACACACCCACACCTAGAATCTGTACTTTACTAAGAAAGTGTAATCCCAAATAAAACATACGTTCCATTTGACCACTTTCTAAAATGGCATTGTGTATTTCATAGCTTTAGGCGGTTGTCTGTGGGAGCCACCCACACCTAGAATCTGTACCTAAATAACACTTATCAGAGGGGTACACAAAGTCCAAATAACACTTATCAGAGGGGTACACAAAGTCCGCAGTCTAGACTAACTGTTGTCCGACTTCCATTTTTGTGGAAGCTGCGGTGGCTGAGCGGGTTAGGCGGCTGACTTTGTGTGCTGACGATTAGGTGCCTGGCTCTGAGGGTGCAGGTTCGAATCCCAGATGGGACTCAACCCCAAAAGTACTAGAATCTGTACTTTACTAAGAAAGTGTAATCCCAAATATAACATACGTTACATACGTGGCATCGTGTACTACATGTGCTTAGTGTCAGTGTTAGTATATGATAGACAGAGAGCATTTAGATGCCTTGTCATATCTACTTTTATTCTACTCATGACCCAGCAGATTTACACCATGTGTGAACGTAGTTGCTTTGTGTGTTTATGAACATAGGGTGTCACACCGTTGCCTTATTTATGGTAGATGTAGATAGAATACCTAATGAGCAAAATGTTCTCTGATGTGAGATTATCTTGAAGGTGAAATGCTTGCAATACATGCGATGATACTGGTTACCTACCTGTGTCAGTATTGACTCAGTATTATATGGTTGGTACTGAGTCAGAACAGGGTGGGTACCAGTACTGGATCAGTATTAGATAACTATGAGTAAAGTATTGGCTCAGTGTAGGGTCAGGTGAAAACATTCCCGTGAAACTATACCCACAATAGGTTGTCCAATAATATAGTACAGGGTTCGAAATACCCCATATATTAGGGTGCCATAGCACAGTAAATATTGAAATGGCACAGCTAAAAAATGTTCTCTTGCCTTTTTGACATGCCTAATTTTGTAGAGACTTTACTTACATTTAGTCATTTAATCCCCAATTATTTTTTTCCAAATTGAATAATACCATACATATTTGAATGCTCATAAACCCATTTCTTTATTTAACATTAAATTTCAAATGATGATCATCATTGTCATTTATTCTAAAAACATGTGGGCATACTCGATTTCTGAAAGGCACACCTAAAATATTTGTCTGGTGCCCTAAGGCACACTTAGAAAAAAAAAGTATTTCTATCCCTGTAGTAAATAAATCTAAACAGGGAAGAGTCAGGAGATACCTGAACTCAATCACCCGTGTGACCGACATATAGATTGATAGGCTCAGAGAATTATATTAATATATTCCTCCCAGACGGATACCAACAGGTGGTTGTTGAGGTGGGCTGTGTGTGGTGGTTGTGACAGGTAACGGGGGCTATTGAACCCTCTACAGCTGCTCCCTGTGTATTGATTCTGTGGCTAGGAAGTGGGACATGTGTGGTCGAGGCTTTCATTCAGAATAACACCTTTACACTTGGGGACAGTGGATATGTGGTCCCTTGAATGTCGAGGCTTTCATTCAAAATAACACCTTTACACTTGGGGACAGTGGATATAATGGTCCCTTGAATGTTGGAAGAGGTGACTGAATGGGGCTGGTAGTCTGTGAGCTGATAGTTCACTATGTCATAGCCTGACTGTATGGAACATTGCATCAAACCCAGGGTTAGATCTTGTATCCCAAGATGAGACCAATTAAAGCCTGACTGCATGGAACATTGCATCAAGGCCAGGGTTAGATCTTGTATCCCAAGATGAGACCAATTAAAGCCTGACTGCATGGAACATTGCATCAAGGCCAGGGTTAGATCTTGTATCCCAAGATGAGACCAATTAAAGCCTGACTGCATGGAACATTGCATCAAGGCCAGGGTTAGATCTTGTATCCCAAGATGAGACCAATGGAACATTGCATCAAGCCTTGTATGATGAGACTGCATGGAACATTGCATCAAGGCCAGGGTTAGATCTTGTATCCCAAGATGAGACCAATTAAAGCCTGACTGCATGGAACATTGCATCAAGGCCAGGGTTAGATCTTGTATCCCAAGATGAGACCAATTAAAGCCTGACTGCATGGAACATTGCATCAAGGCCAGGGTTAGATCTTGTATCCCAAGATGAGACCAATTAAAGCCTGACTGCATGGAACATTGCATCAAGGCCAGGGTTAGATCTTGTATCCCAAGATGAGACCAATTAAAGCCTGACTGGAACATGGAACATTGCATCACTGCATGGAACCAGGGTTAGATCTTGTATCCCAAGATGAGACCAATTAAAGCCTGACTGCATGGAACATTGCATCAAGGCCAGGGTTAGATCTTGTATCCCAAGATGAGACCAATTAAAGCCTGACTGCATGGAACATTGCATCAAGGCCAGGGTTAGATCTTGTATCCCAAGATGAGACCAATTAAAGCCACTTGCTGGTAACTGTGTGGACTACTATCCAACATGATGCCATCAGTCTCACCTATCCTCTAAATCCACCTTTATTGTCTGCTGTGTTGTTTTTCATGAATCAGTATAATGGAAATGAGGCAATTTTACACTTACATAAATATTGTAATGATATATGTTTGTAATGAGATCCACACGTATTGTAGGTGTACATATGTGATGAGACAACAAGGTGATATGTGGACATCAACATATAGCAGCTGTCCGTCACTGGTAATGCGGGAACTGGTTCCCCACATCACCCACGTCCACCATCACCCCACGTCCACCATCACCCCACGTCCACCATTGCCCCGTCCATGGCGTCATCCCCACATGCACCCACCCCACCATCACCCCGCCCACCACCCATCACCCCACCACCATCACCCCGATCTCACACCATCACCCCACGTCCACCATCACCCCACGTCCACCATCACCCCCACCATCACCACCACCATCACCCCACGTCCACCATCACCCCACGTCCACCATCACCCCACCATCCCCACCACCATCACCCCGTCCACCATTGCCCACGTCCCACCCATCCCACGTCCACCATTGCCCACCACCATTACCCCATCCACCATCACCCCGTACCCGTCCACCATCGCATCCACCATGCCCACCATTACGTCCACCATTACCCCACGTCCACCATTACCCCACGTCCACCATCACCCCACGTCCACCATTACCCCACGTCCACCATCACCCCACATCCACCATCACCCCACGTCCACCATTACCCACTCCCCGTGCCCCCAGCACTCAATACTCTCTGTGACCATACTTGTGTTGAGAGGTAAGGAACAGTGAATCAGGTGGCTTCAATGTGTAAGCTTGCTGGTATTGTTATCAGCACTTGGTTGATGTTGTTAAGATTAAATCAAGTTTAGGTTGTCATGACTTGCCAGTAATTTTGGCATAAAACAATATCCACTCACTCAATCATGCTTACACCCGTGAAGATCCGGGTTAGAATTGGTCTTCAGTAACCCATGCTTACACCCATGAAGATCCGGGTTAAAATTTGCCTTCAGTAACCCATGCTTACACCCATGAAAATCCGGGTTAGAATTGGTCTTCAGTAACCTTCACCCATAAGATCCATTGCTTCAGTAACCCATACTTACACCCGCGGAAGATCCGGGTTAGAATTGGTCTTCAGTAACCCATGCTTACACCCATGAAGATCCGGGTTAGAATTGGTCTTCAGTAACCCATGCTTACACCCATGAAGATCCGGGTTAGAATTTGTCTTCAGTAACCCATGCTTACACCCATGAAGATCCGGGTTAGAATTTATCTTCAGTAACCCATGCTTACACCCATAAAGATCCGGGTTAGAATTGATCTTCAGTAACCCATGCTTACACCCATGAAAATCCGGGTTAGAATTTGTCTTCAGTAACCCATGCTTACACCCATGAAGATCTGGGTTAGAATTGGTCTTCAGTAACCCATGCTTACACCCATGAAGATCTGGGTTAGAATTGGTCTTCAGTAACCCATGCTTACACCCATGAAGATCCGGGTTAGAATTTGTCTTCAGTAACCCATGCTTACACCCATGAAGATCCGAGTTAGAACTGGTCTTCAGTAACCCATGCTTACACCCATGAAAATCCGGGTTAGAATTGGTCTTCAGTAACCCATGCTTACACCCATGAAGATCCGGGTTAGAAGTAAAGGATAAAACACGACTCCGAGGTCTTGGTCGGGATTGTAAAACCTGAGAGCAACACCCATGAAGGACCGGGTTAGAATTGATCCTCAGTAACCCATGCTTGTTGTAAGAGGAGACTAACGGCATCAGGTGGTCAGGCTCGCTGACTTGTTTGACACATGTCTTTGTATCCCAATTGCG